ATCCGCCTGCCTCGGCCTCCCAGAGTGCTAGGATTACAGGCGTGAACCACAGCGTCCAGCCTTTTTTTTGTTTTTTGAGCCTATGGGTTTTTAAAATGAGATCTTGAGAAATAAAAATAAACTAATCCCCTACCCTACCCTCCACCACCATCCAGCAATGCTTTTAGGCACTTAGACCCACTGTGTCTTTTTAAAATAAATTGCAGACGCCTTATGGGCAGGAAGTACATCTTTTGCTTCTTTATGTGGTGCCACCAGTTGACTACCAAACAACATGTTTGCTGCAAATAGTAGCTGAATTGCTAAAAGGATAAGGCTGCAAGAGAATATTGGCTACTGAACGTGAGAACGATCATGGGAAAGAAACGATCTCACAGTACCAAACAACATCTAGTGGTCTTACCTTGATTCCCAAATAAATGCCTACATATCCTCCTTCCTACAGGACTAGAGAGGAGGAAATTTGCTTCTTCCCAAACCCACCTGCCAATTATTACCAGCATGGCCTGAGAAGACAGAATGCTGAGAGGATGATCAAGAAACTCCAAGGAAGGAAGGATAACAGGACTCCTCCACCCTTGGTTACATGCAACTCAAAAGAGGAAGGGGGATAGGGAATAAAGCACATCTTTTTTCTCTTCCCCTTCAGCTGCCCAATAGGTAGCACTAGTTCTCCCAGTGTCTTGGGGATGAGGCAAGGGTGACAGCATGAGCAGATAGACTCTGCTTATACCTTTTAAGAAGACCCTCTTGCTGGTTGGGAACCAAAGAATGAAAGTGCTGACTGTTCAGTATCAAGATCATCAGTAATGAGAGTCAACATCACACTCCCCAACCCTTCCTAAGGCCAGGTCTTTGGTAATCATCAGGTAGCGTTTCCAGTCAAGGAATGAAGGGGTACATATAACAGTGTGCTTGTGCTGTAATTAAATAATTCAGTGTTTTCTTATAATTTCCTGCCTTACTGCATCCTAATGAGAGTCTCCTCTGAGCACAGGGACTTTAAATTCTTTTGGACAAGGCTTGTAAAGGTAGAAGAATCCAGATGAACAAAACAAACTTTTTCAGTCAGAAGTGTTATTCCTGTGACACAAGATTGACTCCACACGGAGGATCCACTATTTTCTTGAGGTGAGCATGGGTCAACCAAAGGCAGGGCATTTTGTTTTTGTTGTGCAAAGTACTCAGCACTCACTTCTGCCAGAGAATTAAACTATCTCCTCCAGCTTTACAAACAAAGAGCTTTGTGCAAACTGATCACAGAGCCCTCTGTTGGACTAGGAGACTATTTGCAGATCCTCTTTTCTTACTTGCTTCAGATCAGTAATTAGGTTTCTACTGGCACAGGGTAGACTAAAATAAAACACAGAAGTATAAATTGTAGCCTGCCATGGGAAGTTCAATTTATTTAGATTCAGAACATGGCCAGCTCCCTAAATCCTGGGATAATACACCCTGAGGTGCATACCGTATTATAAAAATATGTCCTGGCTCGGCAGCCTGAGATGATAAATCCACCAAGCCCTAGGCACAGCACACCACATCATGTTCCCTGAAGATGCCACTCTGCTTTCCACTTCTGTGCTCGCCACATGGCTCTTCCCTACGCCGGAATGTGTGCTCTCCTTAAGCCTCCTGGTGGATTCCTACTTGCCCTTCAAAAGCCAGCGCATGTGACTCCTTTGGGAATTTTTCAATAAAGTCTTCATCCTCCCACTCCCTGCTTCATAAAGTTAATTATGTCTTCCACAGAGCTCCTTGTCTGTTACCCAGCACATTTTCCTATGATTCCATCTAATACACTGTGTGGTAATTATGTGTTTTACACATTTGGCTTCTAGAACAAGACAGTGAGACCTTGGGGCATGAGTTAATATATATATATATATATATATATATATATATATATATATATACATATTTTATTACATTCCCTGAACTCAACATGCTGGCTGGCTCTTAGTCATCTTTGATAAATTAACAGTAAAAAAGAGTTTTTAAATTCACAACTGCATTTGTTTTCCCCTCTTATAAAATTCTTCTGTTATTTCTCTATCCATTTCATGGGTACTTTCTTTTCTTGAGTCACTTATGAAAACTGTCCTGTACCACGTAATTCATATTAGAAGGAGAAAAAAGGTATATGCATATATTGTTACAATATGCATGCTTTCTTTTCTGTAGGTATACAGATCTCTATAGAGTCAGCACATTGTGGCAAACCAATAAATAAAGCAATGAAACCAGGCAAGGACAAAATAGAAACTAAAGGTGGGAAATCTTAAGAATTATGGTGCATATGTTGTTACTGCATGATTCTTTCCTGCAGTTCATGTTTATTGCTTTGTTATTCTTAAGTGACACAGTGCTGAGATGTGTGCCTCCTCTCAAGACCCTTCCAGAGCTCTAATTATTACAAACGATAATTTCTTATTATAAGACCAAATTTCCATTCTCTATATATTTGTAAACAAAATCTCCTTTCACCAGTTATACCATTGCATCAAACCTGAGAAAAGCACCTTCAAAGTGTATATATATTTGAATTTTATAATTATAATGTGAATATAAATTATATCTCCTTTCAATTATGGTAAGTTCTTTTTTTCATTGCCACAAGGGAATCTGATGAATAAGCTTGCATTTTGTACATTCTGTTTAGAGGTATAATTGTGAATTCTTCATCTGAAAAGATTAAAATCTTTAATCTCTCATCATGACAATTAATTATGTTGACTGTACTGCGTTCGCATCCTCAGGGTAAGGGAAAATGATAATGGCAATCTACAAAGCTAATGAAATTGTATATAATCACAGACTGTTTAGTGCAATTAATGATGTAGTAGCATGGGCTGTCACTGAAGACCTCAATTCCAGTGATCGTGTCCTGAACCTGTGTTTTAATCATGATGCCAATTACTAAATGGTTTAGCCAAGCTGCTAACAGGGCTCTTCAGCACACAGTCAGGATTATAGGAGCTCACATGGCAATAATCTTTGAATAGAAATCCATGTTTTCAGTGCTATTAAGCCACATGGCAAGAGCCTCCTCAGAATTTTTTCAGAGTTATATCTTGATGGGAAACAGTACACTGAAGAAAAAAAAAGACCTCATATCAGGATATTTGAGCAAAGATTTAAAAGGTTTATGAGAAAATAATAGTGTGACTATAATGCTTTAGTTATGAATCAACAAATGTTTTAAAAACGACAATCTTTATTCAGTAAGTATAGTGAACCTACAAAAACAAAAAGACAAGACCTTTAAAAGATAAATCCTTTTATATTTTAAAACCACCTTTGAATGTGTGTATCTAAAGCTGTATTTGGGAGTTTATTCTAGAGTTCCTCTTCCTTTGTTTAATCACAAGGGTGTGGGTCAAATCCAGCTTTGTTTGGTGCAACCCAGAACAGCACTCAGGGTAACTGCGGACCCAGCCCCGCTGACGTCATCTCCTCCTTAACAACCATTTCAAAATTATTTACAACGGTAGGACCGCCCTTCCTTTATTGAATCAGATGCTGAAAGCCACTGGACTTTTACACAGTCATAGCTTAGGTGGTTAGAGAAATAATTCTAATTCCATCTGTTAACTTACCTTGAAGAACTTCCATGGGGAGAACAGTCCAGGCATTTTCCAGGTAGGAAATATAAATATAGCGAGCTGTATTGCAGGCCAGGCCAATGTACAGAACCCTAAAAAAAAAAAGCAAAGGAAAATAAATTGAGGCCCCAGTATGAAATTCAAAACGTGCAAATATTACCTACTTTTTTCCTCCCCAAACCACTTGTCATCCAGCAGACAGTGTTCCAAACTCAAGAGTGGGAAAGCTGAAGGACAATTAAGTTTAAGCATGAATTTAGGAATAAGATCGCTTCTAACATATCTGCCCTCAGCCTTTCAAAATGCTTGTTAATATAAAAGCAAATATCACCCTTCCTGAAACTTAATTAGTAGCAGAGATGATGCTTTTTTAAGATAGTCTGGGCACACTGCCATCTGTAATGACATTATTGGCTTCCTTCCAGGTGGCTGTAGGGGAAATATGTCTGAGATTGTAAGCACTTCACTATGATGGGGGAAGGACAGGATAAAAATGGGAACACATAAACATGAATGTGGCCTTGCTTGCAATACCCAAGACACCAAGCAGTTTCACAAGGAGACTCTCAAGATCATCAAAAACTATCACCCAATGATTACTATAAGCTATTTGGAAATCAAATACTTTTTCCTATCAGTTCAACTGATACATGTTCATCATTTTTTTAAAAATCCATGGTATCATGCTTATAAAGCTGATAAATATATATTGACCTCTTATTTCCTCTCACCCTCAACCATTACCACCACCAAAAATATAAGTAAAAACAAAATAAGCAAAGGCCTGAACTGTTGCACCCAAGCATAAGGTTACGATCTCTCTTATTCTAAACTGGATGGGCTGGTTTGGAAGCAAATAGTGGCTTCTGTCTCTACACAAAACACAGCCTAATGGCAGGGAGTTGTCTTTCTCGGTTGTTTTCCATTTACTGTTAACTCTCCTAACCTTAATGCTTTTCTTGTTTTCTCAATCCAAGTGGATGAAAAGTAGAAGGTAGAAATAAACGAACATGACCATCGGTGGTATTTTCCTAATCTTGCTCAACTAAATTTTTATATTAAAATCATTCCTATAAACACTGTTACCTTTTTTCCAACATTGAATCAAGGAAAGCAAATGCTCTTGGGCACCAGCTGCCATTAATCTCAAACATGGAACAGAAGGATGGGGGAAAGACCAAAAAAGAAAA